AAAAAAAAAATATATATATAATTATTATTATTATTATATTATAAAATCAAAGTCCCTTACAGCACAGCCACTAAGCTATTTTCATAAGTGGCTTACCAATTTATTTGTAAATTTCTAAACACTGAAACACCTGCTGTATTAGTTGGTGTCATTATCGCTTCATAATAAATAATTTTTAGATACATGCTGACCTAGGTGTTCAGTTGTTGTGTAATCTTTAATGCATCCTGCCACATGCCTTTCACTGAAAAGTGCACTGTTGCCCAACTACTAATCAAACACTACAAGACCAAGGTTATAATACATAAGTTCTTTTTATTCTACTTGCAAAGTTAAACTGTATGTAGGGCAAATTCCATTTTCTGAGATCACTTCTGTCTGAGAGAGGACTCTGACAATTTATAATCAGCACTGATATTTTTTGTAATGCAAGTGTAGATAAAATAAAACTATATACATTCCTGGATTCTTTAGATATCAACAATTTTAAGCCAAAGGACATTATGTGATGGAACGCATAGTGTTGGCTTCACTAAACCTGGGTCTTATCTGGAGACTCTTGACCGTACTAATTTAGGTTACAGGTACACAGTCATATGAGCTTAAGTTCCAGGTATGAGTGATTATTTTTGTGTGTGTGTGTATGCTCAAGTGTTTGAGTATGTTCTAATGTGCCACATTGACTAAGAGTACACAGTGAATGTACTAATGTGTAAAACTATACAGAGTAATAGTTGGCCAACTGAGCTAAAATATTATGTCAGATACTTTGCCCATGTGGCAGGCTGATGTCAGTCTTTGTTCACATCCAGCACCAGATTGTTGAACACTTCCTGGTCACCAAGATCACCAAGAGTGGGCTGGAAGTCTTCCTCAAGTCCACCACTACCACCACTCTCCAGAGTCAGGCCTGCACGATTAAGGGCATTCAACGTGAGCATGGAGGCAGGGCTGATAAGTGGTCCTTGTGCACTGCTACCAACACTATCTCCCTGCTGACTTCTTAGTGTGTCTAAGCAACAACTGCCACCACTGAGAGTAGCCTCGTTCCTTGTTATCTGCTCATCCATTGTTCTCAGGCCTCCACTGTCAGTCTGATAATTAAGTGAAAATGGATTAATGTTTGGAGGGACCTGCATAGGATCAGACAGAGTAGAAAGGTCAGTAGATTGATTTTCTGGCAAAGTTAAAGATTCCATACTATCAAGTCCAACTGAAGCACCAGCATCACTTTGTAAATTCACATCTAACATGGGATCAATTTCCAAATTATAACTCTCTGTAAAATCATTGTATTCACTGGGCACTGGAGTTGGGGCATAAGATGAAGGCTGAGACACACAGCAGTCAGAAAAAGAGAATTGTTGATTAACAATAGGGGTGTTTGGCTGAGATTTTGGAAAAGCTTCTGGATTACAGGATGTCATGTTGAGCATCTGCAATAATGGAACTGACTGGGGTCTGTTTGAATTTCCTGAAGGTGCACTGCTAGGTCCTGGCTGAGAGTTGGTCATTACACTAGTTATTTCTTGGGATAATGGATCAGTTGGGAATGCTGGAGGCTGAGGCTGATAGTGAATGGTAGGCCCAGCAGACATATGACGGCGGCGCAGGTCATTAATACCACTCCCAACAGGTTGCTTATTTTTGAGCATATGATGCAGCATAGAGGCTGAAGGAAGTTGTAAACTCATAGAATCATGTTGCTGATGTACGGAACCATCCTGCACCAAAGGAGACAAGGGAGCAGAGGAAGGTGATGGTGGAACACTTCCAGAGGAATGCCTAGAGCGAAACTTTCCTCCACGGCGGCTAGACATATCATCAGAGGTATAAGGAGCATGTCTAAAAGTTGGAGCACCCGAGGAGTGCCGTGAGCGACAAGTAGGAGTATATGGGGTACGAAGATTCTGACTGGAGTTATGCCGTGATCTTGGAAACAGTGGTGTAGTAATTGGAGACATAAAGGGTGTATTGCATTCTGATGTAACTGGGTAGTTAGGCTGATCTGGGGTAAAGGGTGTACTGCGGGGTGTCACATAAGTCGAGTTAGTCTGGCCGGAATTGTGTCGTGATCTAGGCAATGGGGTATTGCGAGGAGACATAAAAGGGCTAGCATTGGCACTAGAGCACTGTGACATGCCCTGTGCTTGGTCAAGGTTACTACTAATTGGAGTAAAATTAAACTGTGTCCTACGAGTATTAGGGCTGGGTGGAACTGACCCTACAGTCTGGCCACCCATCAGGGGATTTAATGCTTCTCCTCCATCTAGGGAAGGCTGGAAACTTACTCTCCGCCTCATTCCTCCAGGAACTGATGCATCTTGATCTAGCATGTCTGAATCATTTACTAGAGACCTCTGACCTCCCCCAACACCACCCTGAGTTTGAACCCCTGGAAGGTTCCTTTGTAACAATTTACGCAACTCTGACAATTGACTGGACTTTTGTGCATCGTCCAAGTCTAGTGCATTCTTATGGAAATATTGCATGAGCTCATCCTCTGCCTCCTGACTATTTGTACAGTTATTATTATTATTATTTAATCCCAGCTGCTGTGATTCCTTCTGTCCTTGCTGCTGGGGTGTTGGCTCTACTAGGTTCGAGCCTCCAAAGCTATTGGTCAACAAGTGTTCTGCCCTCGGCTGTGAAAGGTCTTCTGTCCTTCCACCTAGTACATCTGCCCACTGTGAACCTCCTGTAATTGTCCCTTGATTATTCTCTGTCACTTTGGGCTGGATGGCTTTAAAACGTGCTTTTGGTGATGTACTTTTAGGGACAGAAGGCATGATAAGGAATGCCTTCTTTGGAGGATTGGCTTTAGAAATAGGTACTTTACCTCCCAATGGTTTCTTAACTTCTGATACAAAATTAATGTTACTAGTGCTACAGTTTCTTCTGATTGGTTGTTGAGAATGTTCTACATTAGTTATTATACTACAACTATTAAAGTTTCCATTCTTCCCATCCCCATTAGATTTGGTACTGAGGATCTTATCATCAGTAAGAGAGTCAAGAAAATCTAGTGGCTGCTCTTGCTTGATAGTTGCAACACCAAGCACATTAGTGTTGATGGTGGAGACATCATTAGTAGCACCATTAGGAAGCTCGCAGGTCAAGCTATCACAGTTGCTGTTGGTGGTTGTGGTTGAGATGGTGCTGGATATGGATGTGGCAGTAGGAAGGTGAGGACCAGACTTGTTTATAGTAGTGGCTGGGCTCCCATTTGCTAGGGTCTCACCAGATGGGTTGCGAGATGCTCCACTTCGTCGTCTAGACTTTGGTCGCTCATTATTACATTTATTCACTGTGGGCTGTTGTTCCTGCAAAAGAAATATTGATTCAGAAATTTTATAACTGCAATATATGATGTTTAATTACTTTTTAACCACTGGTAGAGAGAGAAAGTGTGTGAAAACAAAGCAAGCCCTCTGTTATTTCGCCAATAAAATCATCCTTTATCTAATAAATGCTGTGCACCTCCTTTCAATGTCTATTTTTTTTTTTAAATCAACAGCAATACAGATGAAGAAAATTGTAATATATAATGATTAAGTAAATTTTCATCCTAAATCAATATATTATAGATTGTATGTATAAGTTTTATTACATTTTAAAGCTCTGCACAAACAACCCCGAGTACAGTTATTCAGGCTAAAACGTTGTGTAGTTTTAAAAATAGGTTAGATAAATACATGAGTGGGTGTGAGTTGGACCTTGACTAGCTTGTGCTGCTGGGTCTGGTGCAGTGCTCCATCCTTGAGTTTAGGTGACCAGACTGGGTGGGTCATTGGGCTAATTCGGGGGGGATGGGGGGGGGGGGCATGGACCTGCTCTGCATAGGTCAGTAGGCCTGTTGCAGTGTTCCTTCTTTCTTATGTTCTAACCCACATATAGGAGACAAATTTATGACATTTCAGTCTCCTAGTTGCAGGCTATTTGTGTATTTTACCAGTCACAGTATTGTGCCTTTTTCTTCTTTTAAAGCATTATATAAAATTTAGGAAAAATACAGAGTAGGAAAGTATGTACAGTGGACCCCCGGTTAACGATTTTAATCCGTGCAAGAGGGGTAATTGTTATGTGAAATAATCGTTATGTGAATGAATTTTCCCCATAAGAAATAATGGAAATAAAATTAATCCGTGCAAGACACCCAAAAGTATGAAAAAAATTTTTTTTTACCACATGAAATGTTAATTTTAATACACACAAACTGAAAAAGGCATGCACACTTACATGACACTTACTTTTATTGAAGATCTGGTGATGATTGATGGGATGGGAGGAGGGGAGAGCATTATCTTCTTACTGTTTAGAAGGGGAATCCCCTTCCATTAGGACTTGAGGTAGCAAGTCCTTTTCCGGGGTTACTTCCCTTCTTCTTTTAATGCCACTAGGACCAGCTTGAGAGTCACTGGACCTCTGTCGCACAACAAATCTGTCCATAGAGCTCTGTACCTCCCGTTCCTTTACGATTTGTCTAAAATGGGCCACAACATTGTCATTGAAATAGTCACCAGCACGGCTTGCAACAGCTGTGTCAGGGTGATTTTCATCCATAAAGGTTTGCAGTTCAACCCACTGTGCACACATTTCCTTAATTTTTGAAGTAGGCACAATGGATTCCACAACTGGCATAGGCTTCTCAGGGTTAGCCCCAAACCCTTCAAAATCTTTCTTAATTTCCATACTAATTCTCACCCTTTTTACCACAGGGTTGGCACTAGAAGCTTTCTTGGGGCCCATGGTCACTTATTTTCCAGAAACAGCACCGAAAACACTGTAATAATACGAAATATTCCGATTGTATGCTTGGATGTTACCGCGGAGGCTGGCTGGTAAACAATGCCACCGGCGGAACATGTGAGCGCGTCTCGGAAGAAAATCGGTAAGCGGGTTTTTAAGCGGTATGTGAGGCAAAATTTTTGCAATTAAAGTAAGCGGTATGCGAAATAATCGCTATGTGATGCCATCGTTATGCGGGGGTCCACTGTATTGGCAAAGGCTTTTCCAAGTCCTTAGGGAGTCATTAATAGTGTCAGGAAAATAACATAGTGAGGATGATGAAAGCTGAATGGCAGCAAAGTATTAGCACTAGTGCCAAAAGGAAAAGAAAGCTCAACAATTAAGTCAGACTAATGAGTGGTTATATTAGTCTAGCAATCACATGCCTACACACAAACTCCTTTTAATACCCATATAGAAAAAAAAAAAAAAAAATTATTAACAGGCAGGGTGAACTATGAGCTAGAGTTGGTGGTTTGGAAATAGGGTAGTTGATGAGTGGAACAGTCTGCCTAGTAGGGTTTTTGAAGCTAAAACCCTAGGTAGTTTCAAGTTTGAGTGGGACTTGCACATGAGTAAATAGATTTGTCAGAGTTTATTGTTAGGGTAGCACTGAAAGTGGGTTAGGCAAATGTTCTGCTAGTGGGTTGGATTTGTAAAGGACCTGTTAAGTATGGGCCAACAGGCCTACTGCAGTGTTCCTCCTTTCTTATGTTCTTAGGTGTTTATATGACGGAAAGCAAACCTCACATGACAGCACTCTGGTGCCAAGGAAAAAACATCAGCCCTACCCAAGCAGCACGAAGCTCTAAGCAAACGTACATAAACTAACGGAATATGGCAAGCCCAACCTACCAAATAATTATGGTTAACATATATATAAACATTGTTATTGCTATTAAATTCATGGGGCCAGAGCTAAACCCATAGAGGTCATACAAGATCCCTAGCAATGATAAGCAATCAAATTTGATCCAAGGAAGGGGAGGGTAGCTCTACTTTTTTGGATCATAAACCCTTCACAAGCATCAAGGCCCCTCAAAAGGATATTTACCCATAATGCAAGATGCTAAACAAAAGGCAAGTCAAGGAGTGATCCCCACAGTGACACCTTGCAGCTCTACACACACTACCAATGTCCCTATCTTATGTTACATGCCATATATTTGCACTGTTTATCTAATATATACCCTTGTGGGTTTAGCACTTAGTTTCTTTTTTTTTAATACATCAGCCATTTCCCACCATGGCAGGGTGACCCAAACAGAAAGAAAAAACTTTCATTATCATTCAACAATTTCACCATCACTCATACATAATCACTGTCTTTGCAGAGGCACTCAGATGCAACAGCTTAGAAGTACCTCCAAAATGCCAATATCCCAAACCCTCCTTTAAAGTGCAGGCATTGTACTTCCCATTTCCAGGACTCAAGTCCGGCTAACCAGTTTCCCTGAATCCCTTCATAAAATATTACCCTGCTCACACTCAAACAGCTTGTCAGGTCCCAAAAACCATTCATCACCATTCACTCCTATCTAACAAGCTTATGCATGCTTGCTGGAAGTCCCTTGCCCACAAAACCTTCTTTAGTTATGATTATAATTATAATAATTTAATATAATGAATAAAATAACCAAATTGTTATCACCCTACTAAGCCCAATACACCCTCAAAAGGGAAGCCTTGAAGCTGGTAAAAAGCTCTAGATCTAAGAATTTGGAGATACCCTCCCTTTCCTTGGATCAACTCTGTTTCTGTTATATTTTGCACTAAAATTATTTGTTTTGCCAATGCTATAAACATATTCCTTGTCTATCATTATCCAATTATCAATGGCTACTGTCATCACCATAAATCACAATTACAAAGTAAAAACCTTAAAATCTATTTTCCACATCATACATTCCATATCCAGCAATAAGTGTAAGCAAATTTAGACTAAGAGGAAAATATCCTTACCATTTATGCCAAAAAAGAAATGTTGGGTTCTTAGCTAGACAAACACCCTGTGGGGAGGGTGGAATCCCTCCCAAAGACATGCCACCTAATCCTAGGGATAAACTACTCATGCCCTACCACAGCATTGTAATCTAGCATCAAATCTGATTGCCTCCCATTTCCAAGGTTCTCTATGAACACTGAGACTTTCAAAACATCTACAGACACTATTAATTAAAGCATCACCAACTGCACCAGTTGTCCTTATAAGAGAACAATAAATGTCAGGCGACTCACTGGTCACCAATAAAAAAAAAAAAATCAAAGATCAAAGAATGACAAATGTAAGGTGCTTGTATGGCTCCTTTTCCCTATCCCAAATTCAATCTGTGAAATCAAGCTGGCTTCACAAACATCCAGCTGCACTAAAGAAAGAGAAAATCCACAAAAAGAGTAAAACCAAACAATCCATCAAGCTGGATAATAAAACTACTATTTGTGCATAAGTTAAGGTCCTCAACCTTGATTTTTTTAGCGTTACCACAATTACAAAATCTAAAATAAACTAGTGTTTAATAAAAAACACAAAAAAGTTTTATCAAATGGAAGCCATACCTGAAGCTTTCTCTTCTGCTCTCGTATGTGTTCCCGCTCCTGAAGTTTGCGTTGTAGCTGGAGTTGAGTCTCTCTGTGCTTCCCACCCGTGGCTCCACTTCCTACCAACATCCCTATGAATCATTGGGAGTTGACTGTCAATACCTCAAGTAATATGGCTGGTTTAGACAACCTGAATTATATTGGTTTGGCTACAGATCTGAGTATAATAATAATAATAATAAAATAAATTACCAAATTTACAAAGAAACACTTTCCTTTTTCTTTTTAAGTCACCCTGCCTCAGTGGGATACAGCTGGTTTGTTAAAAAAAAAAAATAGATATGGTATTAGTCTGGTGGATAGCAACCACCCAGGGATGTACTGCAAGTCTGCCAAATGAGTGTGAAATAGAAACCTGTAATTGTTTTATACAATAGCAGGATTGCTGGTGTCTTTTCTCTCTGTCTCATAAACACATAAGAGGGAGCAAGGGGCTAGTAACCCCTTCTTTATAAATTACTAAATTTAAAAAGAAAAACTTTAAATTTTCTTTTTAGGTCACCCTGCCTTGGTGGGATACAGCCACTTTGTTGGAAAAAAAAAACGTAAGAGGTAGATTTTACTACTACAGTACTAACAAAAAGTTCATCCTACACATGCAGTTGTGTAAGTGCTTTTGTGTGTATACACACTCATCTGAGTTTTCTTCTACACTCTTAATAGTTCTTGTTTTTATAGTTTCCTTTCATCTCCATGGGGAATTCTTCCTTCATAAGCCATGCATGTCATAAAAGGTGACCAAAATGCCAGGAGCAGGGGAGAGGAGTGTTGGTAACCCCTTCTCCTATATAAATTACTTAAAGGACAAAGGAGAAAGCATTAAAGGTGGGTTGTTTGAATGTGCCTGGGTGTAATATGGATGTGAAGAAAGAACTGATTGTGAATGTTATGGATGAAAAGAAGTTAGAAGTTAGATATCCTAGATCAAAGCAAAACGAAGCTAAAGGGGGGTAGGAGAATATCAGTGAAGGTGGAAATGGGATTAGGTCAGATCAGGTAAGGAAGTAGCAGCAGTACTGTAATATTAAATGATCAATTATGGAAAGAGAATAGGGAATGTAAGTATACATTCAATAATATTTTGTTTTAACAAACCAGATGTATCACACCAAGGCAGGGTGACTTAAAAAGAAAAACAAAAGTTTTTCTTTCTAGAAAAATTAAAGTTTTTCTTTTTAAATTTAGCATTTTGCACAGGAGAAAGAATTACTAGGCCCTTGCTTCTGGCATTTTATTCACCTCTTATGACATGCATGGCTTATGGAGGAAGAATTCTGTCCCACTTTCCCATGGAAATAAGAGGAAATAAACAAGAACAGGAACTAGTAAGAAAATAGAAGAAAACCCAGAGGGGTGTGTATATATGCTTGTACATGTATGTGTAATGTGACCTAAGTGTAAGTAGAAGCAGCAAGACATACCTGAAATCTTGCATGTTTATGAGACAGAAAAAAGAAACCAGCAATCCCACCATCATGTAAAACAATTACAGGCTTTCGTTTTACACTCACTTGGCAGGACAGTAGTACCTCCCTGGGTGGTTGCTGTCAATCAACCTTCTACCTAGGATTCAATGATTATTTTTCTTCTTTCTTTCAACAAACCGGCCGTATCCCACCAAAGCAGGGTGGCCCAAAAAGAAAAACGAAAGTTTCTCTTTTTAAATTTAGTAATTTATACAGGAGAAGGGGTTACTAGCCTCTTGCTCCCGGCATTTTAGTTGCCTCTTACAACACGCATGGCTTACGGAGGAAGAATTCTGTTCCACTTCCCCACTGAGATGAGAGAGAATAAACAAGAACAAGAACTAGTGAGAAAATTGAAGAAAACCCAGAGGAGTGTGTATATATATGCTTGTACATGTATGTGTAGCATGACCTAAGTGTAAGTTGAAGTAGCAAGATGTACCTGAAATCTTGCATGTTTATGAGACAGTAAAGACACCAGCAATCCTACCAGCATGTAAAACAAGTACAGGCTTCCGTTTTACACTTACTTGGCAGGACAGTAGTACTTCCCTGCATGGTTGCTGTCTACCAACCTACTACCACAGGACGGTAGTACCTCCCTGGGTGGTTGCTGTCTACCAACCTACTACCACAGGATGGTAGTACCTCCCTGGGTGATTGCTGTCTACCAACCTACTACCTAGGATTCAATAATTATTTTTTTTTTTTTTTTTTCAACAAGTCGGCCGTCTCCCACCGAGGCAGGGTGACCCAATAATTATGTTGATTAAAATTAAGGATGAGATGTAATTAAATTAATGACAAAGTGTTTTCTTCTTTTTTGGGTACAAGAAAAGCAGAGATGCTGAAGGAAGGACACCGGCAGATAAATAATACACGCATTGAAAGACAAGGAGAGAAAATTCTTGGGTATACACCTTGACAGCAAACTAAGTTTAAAATACAATCCTGCATATTTCTAAAAAAAACTTCAAAGACAGTAAGGATATTTTCTAAAATAAGCTACTACTCAAATGTCTTTACTCACTCTCTATTGCTCCCCAATCTCCCCTTACTTCTCTAATGGTATATGTGCATGGAGATCTATAACACCAACTCTCACCAGAGGCTCACTGTTACTGGACAAAAATCGTTATTGGAAAAAAAACAACAACAAGAATCCATTATTTAAAAAAATAACTCAGACTCCAGACAGCACCCCCCCCCCCCTTTTTCAAAAGTTTAAATCTGCTAATCTTAGAAAATATCCACACTTACTACTGTGAATATTACACTCAGGACAAATATAGACCCAATGCCTAACTGTTGTTGGAAAGCTTCAACAAAGCCCACAGATACAACATAACCCACATTTAACTGTTTAGAAACCCACATGCAGATATAAGGCCCTAAAGTGAAATCTACCAACTGCTTCAAAACTCCTAATAAAATCCTTAACATTATGTGATTACTGCATTAACTGAATGCTGATGATTGTTTATTAATATCAAATAGGATCGTGTAATACTGTCACCACCAAATTAAAATTGTCACTTTAGATTAATGTCACTTCATAATAAACCTATCATTTAAGGAAACAAATCTTTACTACTCATTGTAAAGTAGTTTCACGTCTTAATTTTTGGATATAACGTTAGCATGAGTGAAATGCTCTGTTCTCGTCCACCACACAATCCACACCTATAGAAAAACTGTTTCACAAATTGAGTTCCAAACTCATAATATTTATTTTTAACCATTTGTATCAATTTTAATTTTGGGGGAAATAAAGATTACTATTTGTATAAAGAAGACAGCACTGTATGACCCTTATGGGTTTAGTGCTTGATTATAAATATAATAATAATATTAACTGTATAGAGGAGGAGGTTACAAAATAGTTTTAAGATAAGAGATTCATAAAATACTGCACATAAAAACATACATTCTCCATGGGGAAGTAGAAGAGAATTCTTCCTCTGTAAGCCATGCGTGTCGTAAGAGGAGACTAAAATGCCGGAAGCAAGGAGCTAGTTATCCCTTCTCCTGTATACATTACTCAAGTTAAAAAAAAGAAACTTTTGTTTTTCTTTTTGGGCCACCCTACCTTGGTGGGATATGGCCAGTTTGTTGAAAGAAGATAAAATACTGCACATGAAAACAAACACACCTTGTTTCTGATCAGCAACTGAGAGGAGTGTGAAGGCAGCCATTGATCGACTATCAACGTAGTTTTTCTGGATGAGGTGTAAAGCCAGGTCACGGATGCACTCAAATTTGACTGAGCACAGCTTCTCAGCCCACTCCATCACCAGGCAGCTGGCAGCTCGTTCAACCTCACTTTCATCCACCACACAGTCCACACCTAACTATAGAAGGATTGCTCAACAAATAATATGATACTTAGCATGAAACTAAACGTCAAAATCATTAACATGAAGCATAGTTGAACATGATGTAAATAAATGGAAAAAGTAATTCATATAGCTGAAATTTTATGTAATTAAAATTCATGAAGTACTACAGTGGAGCACAAATTCAGAACCTTCACGAGCCATTTTAGAATGAGAAAACTTCAAAGAACAATGGAAAAATAATGGGAAACAAAAATGGTACAGTACTTACCAATGACTGTGTTGTCTTTTTTCAAACAGACATAATGTATATACAGTACAGTAAACCCTCTTATAGCATACCCTCTCACCTCAATTTTATTGCAATTCAACTGAATTTGTGCAACTAAAATTTTGATAATGCATGAAAAATCTTGATACTGTTTGCTGTAAATTTAAAAACACTGAAGTAATGAGCAACACTATTTGGGAGGTACACTCTAAAGGCTTTTCTGAATCTGTTTGCCAGGCTATGAGTGATGCACTCCAGCCTCCCATTGTTCTTGCTAAGCAAGTAAAACATATAAATAATTATATAAAACATATAAATAATTGTAGAAAACACCGAATAATTGATATACAGTGAAACCTCAGCTTTCGTATGCCCTAGTCTGTATGTAAAACTTAGTCATTTTCTATAAAATGTATTTTTGTTCATATTTCCCATAAGAAATATTGTAAATCCAATTAATCCATTCCAGACACCCAAAATTATTAACAAAAAATACATTTTATACAGAATAACTATAGTTTTTATAGGTAGTAGGTTGGTAGAGAGCAACCACCCAGGGAGGTACTACTGTCCTGCCAAATAAGTGTAAAACGAAAGCCTGTAATTGTTTTACATGATGGTAGGATTGCTGGTGTCCATTTTTCTGTCTCATGAACATGCAAGGTTTCAGGTATGTCTTGTTACTTCTACTTACACTTAGGTCACACTACACATACATGTACAAGCATATATATATATATACACACCCTTCTGGGTTTTCTTCTATTTTCTTACTAGTTCTTGTTCTTGTTTATTTCCTCTTATCTCCATGGGGAAGTGGAACAGAATTCTTCCTCCATAAGCCATGCGTGTTGTAAGAGACAACTAAAATGCCAGGAGAAAGGGGCTAGTAACCCCTTCTCCTGTATAAATTACTAAATTTAAAAAGAAAAACTTTAGTTTTTCTTTTTGGGCCACCCTGCCTTGGTGGGATACGGCCGGTTTGTTGAAGAAGAAGAAAAAAGAAAAACTATAGTTTTACATACAGACTAGGGCATACAAAAACCTAGGTTCCGCTGTAGATTGAAAATGTGTTTAAATGAGAAAATTAAGTAGTGGAGGTAGAGTGTATATACTAAGGTACAGGCATGACACCAGGTGACTGCCCAGACCTATCAGCACATTCTAGGGAATCTCCACTCCTTGCTAAGCAAGACAAAACACATTAGTGTTTATTTGACTGTCTAATAAAGAGGGAAGATGAATGGGCAAATCTTCCACCAGCATCTACACCTGCTATATAGTCAACATAGCAGTAGTATTTTGAGAATGGAGGTGAAGCATTATTTTCCTTACGACTCTGGCTTCGAGTCTACAAAAATATGTTATAGCCAACTCCTTATTTTTCCCCCAATAAACATAACATCATGCCTAGATCATACAAAATAAAAGGTATACCTGGAGGGTATTCCAAGGGTCAATGCCCCTGAGGTCCGATCCATGACCAGACATCGCAATGGATCAGGGCCTGACCAACCAGGCTGTTACTGCAGGTCGCACACAGACTGATGTATAAACCACAGCCCGGCTGGTCATGTACTGACTTTAGATGTCTGCTTAGCTCCCTCTTGATGACAGCCAGGGGTCTATTGGTAATCCCCCTTATGTATGCTGGGAAGCAGTTTAACAGTCTTGGGCCCCTGGCACTTACTGCACTGTCTCTTAGTGTACTCATGGCACCACTGCTTTTCATTGGGGGGGATGTTGAACCGCCTGCCGAGTCTTTTGCTTTCATAGGGAGTGATCTCTATGTGTAGATTTGGAACTATGTAGTCCTAAGATTTTCCAAGGATTACAGGTCGAGGGACTTTAACCATTCCCGTAATTTAGGTGCTTTAGGGTACCTATACGTGTAGTGAAAATTCTCTGTATAATCTCCAGGTCTGCAATTTTGCCTGCCTTGAAAGGGGCCATAAGTGTACAGCAATATTACAGCCTAAAGATCTAGCGGCAGCAGAAACAGAGGCAACAAGGTCTGTCATTTTTATCACCTGCAGAGCCCATCAACACTTCTGTGATGGCCTAATTGCAATCATAACTGCACTAACATACATAGAACCCAGTATGACCCAAGATAAACAACAGTGATACCTACAAACCGAAAAATTACCGTTTGAAGCGAAGACTGCCCCTCAAACTCCAAGCGCAGCCCCGCTGCCAGACGACTACCAACTCCAAGCTCTTAACTAATTCAGTTTCTTCAACCAACCACAGCAACTCCTGTACTACTATGAGACCAACTCATAGAAGAAACAACACTAAGAACAGCAAGGCAGCACCTAGAAACCGACTATTCCATAAGACGACCCAGCAGGACGCCGGTGCCCCATCCACCTCCCTCACCACCCAGAGCGAAGCATCACCAACAACAAACATGGCCGACTCACCCTCACCCACCAACCCAGGCGATTCAACTACAACACCAACCGTGACTGACTCCCTCTCTACCTCTACTACCTTCATAGGATTTAACCCATCTGATATGCTCCCAGGTATGACTAATGATCCTGACACTCTAAAGAATTACATCACCACCCTAACGGCGGATAGCTTGAATCTTCATTCTGAAAATAAGTCTCTCCGTGCAACAATAACAAACCATGAATCTAAGTTACTTCACCTTGAGAATAAGATCAACAACCTCGAACACCAACTAACATCAACTGGCACAACTGATTTTGGCGAGACCCTCCAATCAGTCATAGCCAGTCACACAGATCAAATAACTTCCCTGAACACGAAGATTGAAGATGCTGTCAAGGACTGGAAAACAAACATGGATACCCAACTGAACAATTATTTTGCTTACGAAGATGACAAGGCAGAGCAAGATAAGCTAGCCGATGCAGTAGTAATTAACAGTCCACTCTTTCCTAGTGAATTAAACCATACCAACTGCAAAGCTGCAACTCTCCAGATCATACGTGACCACCTACAGATTAATGTGCTAGTGTCGGAAATTAAAGAATCACGGTTACTAGGGAACCAAGGGAGAAAAAGTGTTATGCTCAGATTTCACACACAAGACAGAAAAAAAGATCTAATAAGTTCATCTATTAAAGCAAAAAATATATACATAGATTAGTGTCTCACAAGAAAACGACAGAACCTCCTGTACAGAGTGAGAAAACTGAAACGTGAGAATAATGATAAAATTCACCAGTGCTTTGTACGTGATGGACAAATTCTAGTAAGAAAAACAAATGTAGGCTGTGTGTACTATATTACAAATGAAAATGAACTAGCGAACTTCCTTCATAATGCAAACATTACAGAGTCTGACTGATATTAGTGACCAAATCATTGTACTATATTAGTGTATGTTATTATGCCATTATTGAACTAATCCCTGTACTATCACCTTCTGGATAGTATTTACTACCTCATTATCCCATGTGTCCCACACAGTTCCTTGTGTGACCCAATTTGTGTCACAATTTATTACTTGTTAATAAGATACTCTTTAATAATATCTGTATTACCATTTATTCCTACTTAAGCACTGTTATAATTTTTCTATAATCTTACCTAATATTCCCTTTGCTCCTAAACTACAAATAACAAACTAGTGTATGCTCCTACTACACTACAGTGCAATTCCTTATACTACCATCTTCCACTAACTAGTATCAGCTACCTCAAATAATATTTCTTTAGTGATATCAATTGCTCAAACTTTACGTTATAAGGCAAATCTTACTCTCAGATTAATTTCATATCATGGTGTCAATCTATTTAAAGGTTGTTTTTATCACTACTTTAGTCCCTTTTTACATTTCTCCTGAAATAATTCTCTATATACCAATACAATGTACAGGTCTGCCATCATAAATCCGGCAATCAGTTATTCGGCACTAATTTTGGCTAGCATAATTTCAAATTTCCAGGGTCGCCACACCAACCTGCTGGTACTGTTTGGTGGCGCTACTTGCTGCATAAGTCATTCCAATTTCTTTTTCTCCATTTATTGTTTTAACCTGCTTACTTTTAGTCCTAGCCATGGTTCCACTGAACAAAAGAAATGCTTCTCATTATGTAAAGCACCTAAACAGTACATTATCCATTAAAGATAAGGTGGCTTTGAAGCCACTGTCGGTTGCCATGAGCTCAGTCTCATGAAGCAGGAGAATATACTTTATTATTACGCTAATATCAACACTACAACTTATTTGCCTATCTCAATTGATCTAATATGACATAATAAACAATATAAATAACATAAAACATGTTAAATACTCCAGTTGGGGGCTTATATTAGAGAAAACAGAGTAAAGCACAGGGCTAACTGTGATATACACTCGTATTGCACCATAAACCTGAAACAAAAAAGTTATTTTCTTTGTATAGATTATCACACATAGCAGCATATGTGTAGAGAACCTAGGATAACCCAAAAAAGTCAACGTGGCTTATTTTTAGTACCTGGCTTGGGTTAGCCATATATGATTTTTGGTAAATATTCGATTCCCAGCCAGGGTAGAAACATTAGGCGTGTTTCTTTACACCTGTTGTCTATGTTTACCCATCAGTAAATGGGTACCTGGGTGTTAGTCGACTAGTGTGGGTGTTATCCTGGGACACTGACCTAATTTTCTTGAAATACTCTGCATAACAAGCCGCTTTTTATATAGTAGTACAGTGGACCCCCGCATACCGTCGGCATCACATAACGTTCAATCCGCATACCGCTCGCTTTTATCGCAAA